TATTATTTTTAGGTTAACTTTTAAATTATTTGCCCCCCCCCCCCCGAGTGGTACAGCGGTATATCTGCGGACTTAAAACGCTAGAAACCGGGTTTTGATACCCGTGGTGGACAGAGCACAGATAGCCCATTGTGTAGCTTTGTGCTTAACTACAAACAAACAAACTAAATTATTTTATCCTCCTGGTGACTCGGTAGTAAACTTCAAGGCTTAAAAAAATGTTAAAATTCGAGGTTCGATCTCTGAAAATATTAATGTCTACTACTCTGCTTTGCTAATCTTCACAGGTTAAGTTGACTCGAAACGGAACATCGAGATTAACATCACGTAGAGAAACAGAAAAGTACGAGACGAAACAGAAAACTTTCACTTACCGCCAGTAACGATGAATGTAAAAAACACCCAGTTGAAATTTTCCCTCTGACTTTTTTAGTTGTTTCAGTGTCAGTAATGTTACCAGGAACCCACTTGATAAACAGAATACATATATATATACATATAGACATACATACATTCCTATGTTTACATAACACTAAACACTCGTAAAGACAATAAATTTACGGTAGTGCTTCTTTAGTCTCGTTAAAAGATCTTATCGACAGGCTAATAGATTTTGAATATAACTTTTCTTTTCTGATGTGCGTCACGAACAACAGCATATACTAACATTTATAACAACACCAGCATTCTACGAGATACTTAATAATAGCAGTTAATAATTCTTATAACAGTGTGAGGATCTCATTGTAACATTAGTCGTCAACAATAACGGGTTAAATAATAGTTGATAACACCAATAACTGTATGAGGATCTCATTGTAACATTAGTCGTCAACAATAACGGGTTAAATAATAGTTGATAACGCCAATAATAGTATGAGGATCTCAATGTAACATTATTCATTCAAAATTACTCCAGTTATCAGTACTGGAATTCAGTTTTATAATGATTGTGTCATATACAAGGGTTGAATACGTGAGATTAAATCATTTTGAATATACAAATCAAGTGACGTTACAAACAGCCTAAAGCAGTGGAACGGATTGTATCAGAACGAAATTTTGATATTGGGATTTGGTAGCTAGTGTAATGCCATCAGAAAATAATCACTTTTGGGAAGGGTGTGTAACAATGCAAAATGTATATACATTCAGGTCATAAAGATGTGTTCAAATCGAGAATTTAGAATTTCTAGGACTTCTAAGGCGGGGATATTCCTTCTACTTGACGGCATTGGAAAACAAAGGAAAATGGATCAACTTGGGACTTAAGAACCACCTAGAAAGAGACCTGCAACAATTCGTACTCCGAGTGTGGTAAGCAAGTACAATTTTTTGTAACATACGAAAAACCACGAGTCTGTTTGGAAAAACGATAGAAGTCATGAGCACACAAGCAGCTTCCACGATATATCTGTTCAACAGTCGCATACCTTAAGCAGCTGGCAAATTAAACGGGTATTCGTGCTATTCCATGCGAAGACATACATGTCAAGTGGCCGGATGCAGCGCCTATGGACAATTATGCGATTAGATTGTTGAAACGAGCGCTGGGAAATAGTCGTCCTCGTACACGAGATAGATTACGAAAAGCATGCAGAAAGTGGGTTGTGCTTTTTGGATATAACAGCCCTATGACGGAGCTTTTTGCTGTGGAAACTAATCTGCGGGTCTATTATCAAAATGTTGTTTTTTTGTTTGTTTATTGGTAAGCAAAAAGCTACATAACGGTTGCTAACGTTATAAGTCTCCAGACTTACCGCTGAGTCACTGAGGGTCATTATCAAGGTGCACAGTCTTCAGATAGAACATGACCGGACGTGGCGACATGGACTGTAACGAAGTGCTGAGACTTTAAAATCGTATTAAAATAACGTACTCAACCTCTATAATTAAAATAAAATGCCTTTAAAAATTATATGTAATAGTACGTTGATTTACAATGGCTTCAGGGTTTACTTAGGGATGGTTAGTTTGATTTTTGTTTGTTTGTTTGGAATTGTGCACAAAGCTACACAATGAGCTATCTGTGCTCTGCCCACCACGGGTATCGAAACCCGGTTTCTAGCGTTGTAAGTCTGCAGACATACCGCTGTGCCATTGGGGGGGGGGCAGGTTAGTTTGAAGACAGAAGAGAAGAATAGTGAGTAAGATCTGTACAGTTGAATTCTCTTTCGTACAAGTCGGGCCTAGTAGTTAGCGTGCTCGGATTATGAATCGTAGGGTTAACGTTCCGCACTTTGGATCAGCGGTTGCGCTATAAAAGTGACAGTCAAATCCAACTATACAGTCAGACAATAGTAGTCCAAGAGTTGGTGATGGTTTTTGTTTACTGGATGCTTTCCTTCTAGCCTGCCAGTTCAAAATTTGCTGATAGCCCTTTGTTGAACTATACTTTATGCGAACATTCTGAAAGAAACAGTCAAACTCAAACAAAACTAGTGCAACATTCTAAAATGAAGAATTACGCACAGGTGTTTTAAAATAATAGTAAACAGAGAGTCGCAGGTGAGCTGCTGAAGTAGTCTGGGATCATCACTGTAAAAAAACAAAAATTCAAATAACAGATAAAAACAACGAAAGGAAATAAATGTAGAAAAAATTATTGTTCATTTGAATCAATATTCTCTTTCTCTGCCTGTATTTTCTTTCTTTCTTTCGTTCAGATTACTCTGATAATACAAATTACACAACTATATCAAAACTAAGACTACAGTAAAATAACGAGGAAAGACTAAATCTGGCACGCGACTGAAAAGAGAGAGAAAGAAAGAAATGCCGCTGAAGGTAAAGCACAGAATAATTTCTTTACTCTATTTGTTTCCACCAATCACACAGAATAATTTCTTTACTCTATTTGTTTCCACCAATCACACAGAATAATTTCTTTACTCTATTTGTTTCCACCAATCACACAGAATAATTTGTTTACTCTATTTGTTTCCACCAATCACACAGAATAATTTCTTTACTCTATTTGTTTCCACCAATCACACAGAATAATTTCTTTACTCTATTTGTTTCCACCAATCACACAGATCACTGTAAAATCAACATTCTGTTTTCCCCGTGGGAAAGTCGGGTCAACAACCTCGAAAGACCAACTTTCCAAGTTGCTGGATCTAAACAGTCCAATGAGAACACAGAGACAGCCGAAATTTGGCTATGATTTCTGAGAAAACACCTCATTTCTAAGCAACTGATCTAAAGCAGCCAAGCCAAGGTGGGTTCATGGAAAGATACATACAAATTTTGCGTTTTGCGGTTTTTATGGGCGTTTTTTTACTACTACTTCGCCTCTTGTTGATGAATCTTCACCAAATGAGACATGAACGTTTGTTGGGTCTATGCGGTGATACATGACAAGTTGTGGTTTACATTTTGTGTTTTGCAGTTTTTCTGGGCGTTTTTTTTTTACTACTACTTCGCCTCTTGTTGATAAATCTTCACCAAATGAGGCATGAACGTTTGTTGGGTCTATGCGGTGATACATGACAAGTTGTGGTTTACATTTTGTGTTTTGCAGTTTTTATGGGCGTTTTTTACAATTGCATATAAGGGAAGCAACTTTTAATTTCCTAAGATAGTCTTTCAGTAATCATGAATTTACATAACTTACGTCCAGGGGACGGGTACTCCAGCTAGTTCTGAATAGTTTAGAAAGTAAGTTACAGAAGGGTAGGTTTGGTGTATCATATTACTGTGTCGTGAATGTTGACAAACTAATGAACTCACCTTATAAAGAAGAACGTGTCCACGGACAAAGTACCATTTACTAATGGCTGAAGCCAAAGCGACTGGGCAATATATCCAATGCCTATAGAAGATCCTACATCAGGAACGAAAATAACGTTTTTGAGAATCATTGTTATTAAGCTTAAGCAAGAATATTTAAATTTATTTTTCTAGTAGTATTACGTCAGCTGTTGCCAACTGCAATGCACCATTCAAGACGAAACATGTTATATATATATGTGTGTGTGTATGGTGTTTTTAGTTTTATTTTCCTCACCACAATAAAGCGACATTTATATACATATAATCCATCTTCCATAACTATAAGATCCCTAGTCTTGTTCTTTCAGTTTACCCTTGTCCATGGTTCCTGGTGATGAGTGGAATACAATTAAGTGACAAGTGGTGAACTGAACAACAGATCGGGTTTCGTGTTTAGTTTTAATACCTTGGTATTGTGAATACGATAACTTAAAAAATTAGTTTGAGTACAAAAAAGGAGTGAAGAATCAAAAACTTTATGTCATTTCAACACATTGTTAAGACCAGTCGTGTTGTAATGATAATTAAGACCAGTCGTATTGTAATATTTCATTGTATTGTTAAGATCAGTCGTACTGTAAAGTTTCATTACATTGTTAAGACTAGTCGTGTTGTAATGTTTCAACACATTGTTAAGACCAGCCGTGTTGTGATGTTTCATTACATTGTTAAGACCAGTCGTGTTGTAATGGTGATGAAACATTACAACACGACTGGTCTTAACAATGTAATGAAACATTACAATACGACTAGTCTTAACAATGTAATGAAACTTTACAGTACGACTGATCTTAACAATACAATGAAATATTACAATACGACTGGTCTTTCTAGTAGTTAGCGCGCCAGATTATGGATCTACGGGTTCCACTTAGCATCCCGAAAGATAAAAAAATGCACTCTCCGGTTTGGCGCTGTTGGTGCATTGTAGGAGTAAGGATCAAATCCCACTTTTCAGCCAGAAGAAAGTAGCTCAAGAGTTGATGGTGAGTGCTATTGACTAGCTGTTTTTCCTTTAGTCTGTCATTTCAAAATTAGGGACGTCTAGCGTAGATAACTCTTGAGTAGCTTAAACAAACAAACAAACAAAACCTTACTTACGTTTATATTTTTCCCGAGGGAGGGACATTCCCTCTTCCAATTTTTCCCTAGGGAGGGACATTCCCCCTCTTCCATCTCCTTCTGAGCCATTAGAGTATCCAGGATATTAATTGTATTTATGCACTCTCCTTATTGAAAACCACATTAGATAATCTTAAAATAATGTATTGAAAAGGTGTTAAGCCTGTTATTTATATATATTATATTTGCTATGTTAAAAGGATCGTGGATCGCCGACTTGGAGTTACACGTCATACAATTTAATGTTTCTAGAAGTGCCATAGAGTAGTTTCCACACGTACGCCACTGTTCTTACGTAAACAAACTGTAAATATTACGTAATTTTTACGAGTTTTTAAAACAGCTTTCCATGAATACTCACTAAAGAACAGCCATCGAAGAGCGAAAGAGCAGGAATGTCCAGTGATAATCCAAATAATAGTTAAAAACCGGATCCCGTGTAACACATCAATAGACTCTTCTGTTCTCGAAGTACTCAAGATCTTCTGTAAATTGTTCTTCAGGGATAATGCTATCATCACTTGCTTGACTTTGTGTGTAAACCCTAATAAAGACATATGAATACATTTATATAAATATAATAGTGTTGTATGTCCATGTAATTACTTCGCAGGATCTTCGCCCAAATTGGTATGGAGATTCATTAGGTCCATGGGGGAGATACATACAGATATTTAGCTTTGCGTTTTGCGATTTTGATGGTCGTTTTTTGCGTTTTTTTACCACTACTTCGCCCCCTGTTGATGGATATTCACCAAATGTGGCATGAAGGTTTGTTAGGTCTATGCGGAAATGCATGCAAAGTTACGATTTCACATTTTGTGTTTTGCAGTTTTTATGGACGTTCTTTGCGTTTTTTTTACAATTACCTATAAGGGAAGCAACTTTTTATTTCCTAAGATAACCTTTCGTTAATCATGAATTTACATAACTTACGTCCAGAGGACGGGTACTCCAGCTAGTATATAATAAATTTCCCTGTAAAGTTCAAGTTTTTCCATTAATCGTACATTATTTCCACATAAAGTTCAAGTTTTTCCATTAATCGTACATTATTTCCCCGTAAAGTTCAAGTTTTTCCATTAATCGTACATTATTTCACTGTAAAGTTCAAGTTTTTCCATTAATCGTACATTATTTCCCCGTAAAGTTCAAGGTTTTCCATTAATCGTACATTATTTCCCCGTAAAGTTCAAGTTTTTCCATTAATCGTACATTATTTCCCCGTAAAGTTCAAGTTTTTCCATTAATCGTACATTATTTCACTGTAAAGTTCAAGTTTTTCCATTAATCGTACATTATTTCCCCGTAAAGTTCAAGTTTTTCCATTAATCGTACATTATTTCCCCGTAAAGTTCAAGTTTTTCCATTAATCGTACATTATTTCCACATAAAGTTCAAGTTTTTCCATTAATCGTACATTATTTCCCCGTAAAGTTCAAGTTTTTCCATTAATCGTACATTATTTCCCCGTAAAGTTCAAGTTTTTCCATTAATCGTACATTATTTCCTTTTACAATTCAAGCTCTTTCATTTCTGAAGTATATACAAAAAGTTTTGTAGATAAGACATGGCACTATTTTTTTCTAAAAGAAGAATACAAGCAACAACACATGGATAAAAACTTTCCAACTTCTGTGTCCATACATTGTTGTATTTCCAAGTCATATCAAACAACTTCTGTGGTAAATACATTGTTGTAGTTCCAAGTCATATCAAACAACTTCTGTAGTAAATACATTGTTGTAGTTCCAAGTCATATTTGTATTTACTACAGAAGTTGTTTGATATGACTTGGAAATATAACAATGTATTTACTACAGAAGTTGTTTGTGTTGTATTTCCAAGTCATATCAAACAACTTCTGTAGTAAATACATTGTTATATTTCCAAGTCATATCAAACAACTTCTGTAGTAAATACATTGTTGTATTTCCAAGTCATATCACACAAATTGTGTAGTAAATACATTGTTGTATTTCCAAGTCATATCAAACAACTTCTGTGTCCATACATTGTTGTATTTCCAAGTCATATCAAACAACTTCTGTAGTAAATACATTGTTGTATTTCCAAGTCATATCAAACAACTTCTGTAGTAAATACAGTGTTGTATTTCCAAGTCATATTTTGATTATGTTCATGTAAAAATGTATAAGATTTAGTACAATAACATTGCATTAACTAACACATTTGTTTTGTTTTGAATTTCAAACTTGTGTTGCATTCATTCAACCATCAAACTTGAATTATGTTATTATTACGGTGAAAACATACATAACTGTGACAGCTTAGGTTTATATATGTACCTGAATGCTCTTCTTGTTCACATATAACTTTGGATGATGTATTCATCTTCGGGGTTACTGCCTCTTCTGTTTTCCTAAACCACAAGTCCGTTTGCTGGACAATGTTAGAGAATATGTCAAAGGTTGTGCCAAGGATGATTAGACCGATGATTACCAGGAAAAGTGTTCTACAGAGGTATATACACAACGTATTGTTAAATATATATGAGAACAGTGTCCTACAAAGGTGTACACACAACGTATTGTTAAATATATATGAGAACAGTGTTCTACAAAGGTGTATACACAACGTAGTGTCAAATATATATGAGAACAGTGTCCTACAAAGGTATACACACAACGTATTGTTAAATATATATGAGAATAGTGTCCTTCAAAGGTGTATACACAACGTATTGTTAAATATATAAATGAACAGTGTCCTTCAAAGGTATATATATATATACACAACGTATTGTTAAATATATATGAGAACAGTGTCCTACAAAGGTGTATATACAACGTATTGTTAAATATATATGACAACAGTGTCCTACAAAGGTATATATACAACGTATTGTTAAATATATATGACAACAGTGTCCTACAAAGGTATATATATATATATATACACAATATATGCTTCTCCTTCTTTGCATTGTTTAATTTACTTTCAACCGAAACATAATGCATATAATTGAAAAGACCTTTCTGCACAGTTAACAAAATATAATCGCGTTTGTTGTTTTTCTAAAAAAAATATTGATTTGGTACGGGCACGGCATAGGCAGGTAGTTAGGGCGCTCGACTCGTAATCTGAAGGTCGCGGGTTCGAATCCCCGTCCCACCAAACATGCCCGCCCTTTCAGCCGTGGGGGCGTTATAATGTAACAGTCAATCCCACTATTCGTTGGTAAAAAGAGTAGCCCAAGAGTTGGCGGTGGTTGGTGATGACTAGCTGGCTTCCCTCTAGTCTTACACTGCTAAATTAGGGACGGCAAGTGCAGATAGCCCTCGCGTAGCTTTGCGCAAAATTCAAAACAAACCAATTAATCCGTGGGAGGCACGTGCTACCTTCAAACACCCTAAAGGGCCGCAAAGTCCGCCTTTACCAGCCATAAACCAAACACGATACATTTAAATAAGATAAGTTACATACGAACCAAAAACTTTAGCTTACAGATGATTTTCTGGTTGATCCCTCGAGGGTTTGTTTTTAAGCTTATATGAGGGCTATCTGCGTTAGCCGTCCCTAATTTAGCAGTGAAAGACTAGAGGGGAGACAGCTACTCATCACCGCCCTCCGCCAACTCTTGGGCTACTCTTTTACCAACGAATAATGGGATTAACCGTCACATTATAACGCCTCCTCGGCTGAAAGGGTGAGCATGTTTGGTAGAACGGGGATTCGAACCCGCGACCCTCAGACTGCGAGTCGAGTGCTCTAACGCACACACACGCCCCTCGAGGGTTGCCCACCAATGTTCTGAAGAGTATTTCTTAGACACACTTACATGACTGAAACTGCTGCGGCATCGTCGGATAATCTGTTTGCCTCCTTCGTGTAACAATGAGATATTGTTGCCGTCCAACCACGTGACACTCGTTGCAAAGCTTGAAATAATTAAGATTTTGTTAATTATGGTTTTCACTGTATACATTTATTAATCAAGCTTAGGCAGGAAGACAAATTAGATTTTTCTTGTTTTCAATAAAAAAGTACAATTAAGATATTTTCTTCGGTACACGAAGTTTTATATTAAAAAAAAAAGGGGAGACAGCGTTTTGGGGAAATAATTCACATTGTAGTTATTATATCCTGTTTTAAATGTGCTAGTACCACTGATCTGTTGAGAAATAAAAATATATTTTATTACAAGTTACAGCTTTAGTGAGGAAGAATATTTTTTTTAGGTACGAAGTTTCGATGATTGGTGGGATCATTCTGAAGTAGACCAGTGATCGAAACGTTCCCGTTCTATAAAATATTATTCCTTACTGTAAAAAAATGTAACTGGTAATTCAAAAACAAAAACAAATAAATACTAAAAGACGGTTTTTGTTTTGATTCCGGAAACGTAATGATTGGCCTTTATTAGATGTCTGAAAAGTTTTGAATAAAATAAATTCTGGACTTTTCCCTTTTCTTATCAGTGATCGAAACGTACCTGTGCTACAATATTATTTCTTACTGAAAAGTCCCCCAGTGGCACAGCGGTATGTCTGAGGACTTACAACGCTAGAATCCGGATTTCGATACCCGTGGTGGGCAGAACACAGATAGCCAATTGTGTAGCTTTGTGCTTAATTACAAACAACCAAACAAAACTTACTGTAAAAGCTATAACTTGTAATAAAATAATCTATACTATTATTCTGCTTGTTTGTATGTACGACCGTTACGCTTTCTGACCGAGAACCTGCTGCATAAGCAAGCGTAGTTAGAATGTTTCCCCAAGAAAAACCGCGCAGGCGCATTATTCACTCGACGACAAACAGTCTGCCTGCGCCAGAGAGCTGCAAAGCTCGGTGATGAAGTCGCTACAATTGCTATAAGAAACAAGAAGTAACAACAAAAGGGGAATGTAAATATACTTTACTAACCATTTTGTACAACAGAATAATAAAAACTTATCAAAGGTTTTAAAAAAAGGTTTGACGTTAGGTAGTAGAATAGCATAATAAGTTTATTTATCGATAGTATAAAGTACAATAAAGTTTAGTCCTAACTAAACTAAAGTAAATAAAAAAACGTACACAGGTTACAGTGTTAATTTATCTCTTTATCGAACTTAGGCCTAACATAAGTTGAAGTTTTATAAAGTACGGTCTATATACAAGTGGATTTACACATTTCGTTGTCTACGATTATAATTCGTTTGTATTGTGCTAGAAATGTTATATTTAAAGAAGTAATGTTACGATAAAGATACTAATTTGGCTGGAAATGTTTTGCGGGTCTCTGTTAGTACTTATAATTGTAAGGAAAGAAATAACGAAAAATTTATTTTATTGAGTTATACATCCTCTAATTCTGTACTCAAAAATGTTCCCTTACATAAAGCTTTCAACTTCAAAACTTTACAGGGTGGTGCAACTCACATACTACCACAATATTTCTAAGTCTTCATTTTATTTCACTATTATTTATTTATTACTACTATAACCCCAGTAGCACAGCGAACTTACGACGCTAGAAACCGGGTTTCGATGCCCATGGTAGGCAGAGCACAGAAAGTCCATTGTGTAGCTTTGTGCTTAACTACAAACAAACTTCTATAACCTGGTTGAGATGTCATTAACACCGCAAGAAGGTGTAGATTTTCCGTTATTTATTAACACAGAGCTACAAAATGGGCTGTCCGCCGCAAGAAATCTCGTCCCGGATTTCAGCATTATAAGTTACTATTGACCCACCAGGAGGGGTACAATATGTGTCGTAGAATGGCAGGAGGTAGAAAAATCATGATGGCACGAGAGTGTAGCATCACCCTGTATATCTCTATTAATCTTTTTTTTTATAAGCTCTTTCTTTTATCTAAAAACAAATGGTATAAAAAGTGAATAAATTTTTTAATTTCCCATGAAAATATACTTCTTTGTCGTGATTAAATAAATATGTCAAATTTAATTGATGTTGAAACTTCAGAATACAAGGATCATAATCTGTCTACATTAATACGACAAGGCCAACCTCTGTTAAACCCTATTGAGACATCTGTTAAAGAACACGTTGACGGTACACAGAGTCCAATCTTCGGGCTATTCGACGTTAATATCTCGTAAGATGGTCCTGGTATCTCCTAAATATATACAAAATAGAAGAAGAATGTTTAAAAACCAACAAAAGTTCACTCTCAGTTTTAAGTTCAACAGAAGAGCAACCCATCTCATAATTCAACAGATTTATAAAACTGAATCAGAAGATTAATGTTATTCTATTGAACAAACAAACAAAGAAGCAAATAATACAAGAGCCCGCAACAATAAGTACCTTTCTATTGAACAAACATACAAAGAAGCAAATAATACAAAAGCCCGCAACAATAAGTACCTTTCTTATGCGCAAAGGAACAATTTCGAAATGATTATATATATATATATATATGTTAAATACTTATTTTCCTTTTCACCAGTGATGAAACTGAAAAGAGAATCTGTGACGTAGAGGCCTAATGTATTCTTTGATTGGCTATACTCTCTGCTGTTGGACTGCAATTTCGTCTATTCAAGGCTCATCAGCGCAGCTTGGGGACAGCCAACCAAAGAAATGCCATTAGGCCTCTTATAATAAATGGTGAAGTAAAAAGGAGTCAAAACCGCATAGAAACTTCGAAATGGTTATGGTATTCTTGTTATTTGGTTATTGTTTTGTAAAATATGGACGTCCACATTTAATAAACAAAGAGCTTTTGTCATGAATCGACGAGAATTACTAGCCTCGTCTGTTAAATTAACACTAAGTGTGAACTTTGTATTGTTTTTTTTTTAACGGTAAATTAACACTTTTAACCGGAGGTTCTCTTTATTGATCTAAAATATAAACAAAAAAACAAGAACCTTTCGAAACTTCTCGTCAAACCTACCTGTTGATTTCTGTTAGCACTAAGTTAATAGATGTTGTTTCTAATATATGTAATATATACATGTTGAAAAACAAGAACGATTTATATTTCACTGTAATAAGATATATTTACTCTTTTACTTGAAAAATTCAGTATCTTGTATAATTAATATTGTAGGGGGTGAAATTCCGAGTTCGAATTGACTGATGTATACAAAATTATACGGAACGAACAAATTAGACAAACTGTTTTTTATAAAAAAAAAGAACAAAAATACGTAAATGTTTTCCTATTTTCTTTTCTACAGTTGCTTCCAAGTATTTCCTTGTTCCTATTTTGTTAGGGAATAATTTTTACTCTATTTCCCAACTCACCTGAGGCGCTGAAGTGGTGTATTTGGATGACAAAGTTGGTAAACAATATTTTCCCCAAAACTGCCGAAGGCCTCTTGTACTTCCTGGTAAAACAGCAGTAGTCTCCAGGCATTCCGAGTAATAGCCAAGAAATATCACATTTCCTTCCAATATACCGCTAGAGGGCTTACCGAGAGCATCGATCACTGAAAACAACAAAAGATACATAATCCAACAAGTGTATACTGATAATACAAGTTGAGGGCACATTGTTGAGATCATTTAAAAAATGCTGTGTATCGGAGAACTGTGTTTGTGTAATAAAGTTTGTAAATAACAAACATATAGAACAGAATATGCCAATATATGTTACAGAACATCAAACTGATATCTGGCTGCAGGTGAAATAAACAGTCCAGTTTAGATACTCCATTTATTTTCAATAACCGTAATTCTGAAACACCGAGGGGGTTCGGTTGAAATGTTTCGTTCATGTTATAATTTATATCATACAGATAAGATTTAAAGTTATAACTGACAGGTAGGTATACACGTGAATACATACCTGTCAGTTATAACAGGTATGTATACACGTGAATATGACAAGAAGGTTTCGCAATCCACTGAAATACAAAAGTGTCATGTCAAATGAAAGGCGGACAAAGGTTCCAGCCTCATCAAGACAGAGATACCATAGAAGAGTTATTCTTAACACATCTGGCGAAAAACGAAGCCTAACGATAAATGGTAAAGCCATGCCAACAATCCTATGTATTTTTAACAGCTGGACGTTTCGGAATTATACACATTCCATCTTCATCAAATTTTTGGTAATAAATAAATATAAAAATTGTCAACATACTGAACTAACATTAAAATGTGTGAAAGTTTCCGGAAATTAAAATATTTATTTAAACAAAGCTATTTGAATGAAGCAAAGTGGGAAACTGAAAATTTGCCGAAGATGAAGTAGGTATAATTCCGAAACGTTCAACTGTTAAAAACATTTGGGATTGTTTCCATGGCTCTACCTTTACCATTGAAGCTGTTCTCTGAATCGTAACAAAAAATTTGAAAGGGTCATCTTTGTACTTCTGAATTCTTGACAACAACACGGAAGAGAAAAATCATTAATGCTGCGTTTCTGCTTTTTAAAGAGGAATATTTGTTTTTCTTCACCTGAGCCAGATAAAACAAACTGAATGATAATGTGAAAATAAGCCTTGAAATGTGCGTACATGTCACGTGATTTTTTTTTTCGTCTTAGGTTGGTAGAAAAAAAATGTAACATTCGATTTGATAATTTAGGTGAGAAATTACTTTTAAAGGCAGAATGTGGTCAGATTTGATACATAACAAAATGTGCTTATTGACCACGCAATACGTAACAAAGTGTGCTTACTGACCACACAATGCATAACAAAATGTGCTTACTGATCATACAAAACATAACAAAATGTGCTTATTGACCACGCAATACGTAACAAAGTGTGCTTACTGACCACACAATGCATAACAAAATGTGCTTACTGATCACACAAAACATAACAAAATGTGCTTATTGACCACGCAATACGTAACAAAGTGTGCTTACTGACCACACAATGCATAACAAATATGCTTACTGACCACACAATATATAACGACATGTGCTTACTGAATACACAATACATAACAAAGTGTACTTATTGACCACACAATACATAACAAAATGTGCTTATTGACCATACAATACATAACAAAATGTGCTTATTGACCACACAATACATAACAAAATGTGCTTATTGGCCATACAATACATAACAAAATGTGCTTATTGACCACACAATACATAACAAAATGTGCTTATTGACCACACAATACATAACCAAATGTGCTTATTGACCATACAATACATAACAAAATGTGCTTACTGACTAATTACAAAACTCCACTTTCATCTCACTACAAACAAGATCCGCGATTTTTTATTTTTGGTTTAATTCATTTGTTAAACTACAATAAAATAAACGTTAATATAACAAATGCCTTTTTCTCTTATTGAGAAAAAAATTATTATTGTAGGACGTTTTAGTTACACAGAATAGAGCGGAAACGTCGTATAGCCTGTTAATAAAAACTGTAAAAACTTCTCTAGAGAAGCCAGAATTTTGCGTGTTATTCGTATGGCGGGATCTCTAATGTTACGGGGCCCGTCATGGCCAGGTGGTTAGGGCACTCGACTCGTCGTGGGCAGAGCACAGATAGCCCATCGTGTTGCTTTGGGCTTAAATTCAAACAAAACATTAGTTTTTCGAGATACGCGCACGGAAACACAGACAGACACACACACACACACATACACACGGACCCGATTGCAATGCCTTCAACCCCCTCCTTCCACGGGCGAGGGTAATTATGAATTAGACAGTGAGATTTTATTGTTCAGCGGAGAAACGAGACAATTCTAGTCCTAGACATATTTCATACTTCTGTCTAAAGGTAATTTACACATCAAACCGACGTCTTACTTAAGAATGCTTCAATATAATGTATAAGCCAAAATATATCTGTCTAAATTATTCAGTAGTAAAATAAGTATGTCAAGATGATCTCAAGACATACTTTAGCCACAAAATTATGACAAATAAACGCGGTTTGCACTTTAGGGTTGTGGGTGCGTTATATGAGTTGACGGTCAAATTTTACTATTCGGTAAAACAAGCGTAGCCCACGAGTTGGTCAGTTCAAAATTAGGGACAGCTACGCGCAGATAGCCCTTTATATAGCTTTGAAACAAACAAACTTATTCATTATTAAATCCAGGGATTCGTGGCTCGCGTCCTATTGCTGCAAAAAAAACTGTATTACAAACTTGGGTACTTGGATATGCTACAAAAGTAACAGTGTATTCTCACAATTCGGTCAGACAAGAGTAGCCCAAGTGTTAGAGGAGACAGTTGTTGACTAGCAGGACCAAGATAATGCATGGGCCTGTAGGGCCTGGGCCCCCAGGCAACTAGGGGACTCAGGCTTCCACCCATGCGAAGCACCAAAAAACTGCCCTGTCCACAAGGAGGAAAATATCGCACGACTGCTAGGGTTATTTATAACAGTGTAACTGACAGAAACATACTCATTACATGTGTGGTTTTATATGGGAGCTCCATGTTCTCTGTGCCCAGGACCCAAATATCTTTTAATCTGACCCTGCCCTGTTGTCTACCATTCGAAATTGAGGATAACAGACAGGTTTCTGCGAATATCTGAAAAAAAAGACTGAAAAACAAATAATTTAATAACACAGACGTATTAAAGAAATATAGCTAACGCTTAAGAGTACACAATAAATATTTAAAAATAAGACTACTCCAGCTTCAAAATACAATAACAACTTTTATGTTGGCGAAACAAAGAAAAATAAGTTATGAATTAATTTCTATATATATACAACGTAAGAAATCCGAATAATAGTTGTTGTTGTTTTTTTCAGTTGTCTTCTATTTGCATACTTATCATTTAAACTGGTTTTGGAGAATTTCTCTGACCTCCTTGTATACGCTTTAGGTGGGCTAATTCAGAGCAAAACAGCTTAATCGGCAGTCTGGTGTCAGGCATTCGAACAACATAACAAATCCAAGTATATATATTAATAACAAAGAACGTATGTATCTTTATATTTATATGTATATTCATCAATTGGTCTGCACGAGGATGAATTTATTTATATGTGCAGTGTACATCGTGCTTTCAATGGGAATTTTTACTTTATTTTGTTTTTCGTCTAATGGCGAGGTGGTGTGCATATCGATAATCTTTGCCTTGTGCCTTTGGGCTCTAAATATACTGGCACTGCCTGGGGTAAATCTTCGTTGGAAATCTGCTCTCTCTGTCCTGAAACGCATTATATTTTTCAAAATTTCAACTTCAAAGATCCGTTGTTTCTCAGTATAGCCTCAAAAATGTATCGCATTTTGTTATTTCTAGAAATATTTGCATCATTCTGAAAAATCCACTACAATACTGTCATAACAATGTGGTCGTTGCTAGTTCAACCTGAAAGATACCTTATGCAACACATGGGCTAAACAATTAAATCAAAGACATCCACCCACCCCTATGTTTAGTATGGCAGTCCCTAATTTAGAACTACCGGCCAGAAGGAGGAAAAACAGTCAGCGGCACCTATAAGTTTGTATGACTACTCTTAACTGAATAGTAAGATTGGCTGTCACTTTTAAACCAACTGAAAGTGAAGAGAAATTTCAACGGCATATCGCGTGCTCGAACCCGGGATCTGTCGATATGCAGCCTGACATGGTCATTACAAGGCCCTATCAGAAAATACGCTGAACTTTTACAAAAGTGAACATATGCTATTATGCAGCATTATTAGACATTTGAGAAATGTAAATAATAAAAGCGTGACCTAATCGTAGATGTTGTAAAGCAATAAAATGGCCCCTTTATCAATTTACTCGACAGAAGAAAAAAATGTGAGAATACACCTGGTGTTATTCATTTGGATTAGTTAGCCGACTTAAAAAAAAGATAAGTTTCTTTATAAAATTAAGAAGTAGGAATAGAGTTTAAATTATTTTCCTGATTAATAGTAAACTAATGAAGAGTCAGGAGTTTATTTGTACTTTAGAAACTTCACTTCAGACAGGATATAGACTTTATGCAAGCATAAGTCACATGACATCTGTTTTAGCGCCATTATGGATAGAAAGGAATAGCATATGATTACGCCAATAATGGCTTCTCCACAAGTACAATTACGAGAGAAAAATAAAATAAATTCTGTTTTTTATTTGAAGTGAATGACTTAAATAAAGAATATAGGACATAATTAGAAAAGCTTTTTTGATAATAGATATTGTTCACTCTCTTTCATAATTTGTCTTAACTGTTTTATGTCTGTTTGTTGCAAAGCAAAAAGCTACATAATGGGCTATCTTTGCTCTTCCCACCGCATTATAAGCCCACTGACTTTCCGCGGAGCTACAGGGGGCCAACTTTTATGTTGGCGAAATAGACAAGAAATACAGTTACGAATTAATATTCATAAATATCACGTAAGAAATCCTAATAATAGTTTCTTACCAATTAACTTTCATTTAAATAATTATCATTTAAACTGGTCTTCGAGAATTACGGATGCATTTATTAAGTTTGCAAAATATTTTATTATTCAACTCAGCTACTTGCAATGTACGTTACTAAT